AAAAAAAAAAAAAAACAAAAACAAAAACAAAAACAAAAAACAAAACGTGGGTGAATTCTGCCCCACAGAGACAGATGCCAGAATCATGGCTATGCACATTTTTCCAACAGTGCAAATTCCTCACTTTTTTGTCCCTTCTTTTCTAGGCTGGGCTGGCAGCCAGGATGAGAGCCTGGCCAGAGGCAAATCACAGAGGAACCGGGGCACCATTGTCTGACTGGGACACCAGGTCACCAAACTTGGCTGTCCGCTGTGCAGCTTTCTCTGCTCTGTCCAGATGTGGAGCGGAGGGTGGCTATGTTCTGCTGGACGCTCACCTCCTCTGCTCTGGTCCTACACTGGCTACCCCCAGTTACTGCTGAGGTTTCCTCTTCTCCCCAGCCTCAGGTCCTTGACTGGACACTAGATTTACTCTAGCAAGACTGCTTCTCTCTTCCCCTTTGTGTCGCTCCCAAAGGATATGGGAAAGACCAGTAGCAAGAAATTCTTCCCCACAAGGAAAGGCAGGCAGGAGAACACGCTGCAGATGTCTCAGTGAAGGGATTGGCCTTTACTCTAAGCTGACGAGAAGCAGGATCTTTCAGGGAGGAAGAGGGATTGTGAGGAGAGGCTAGGAGAACGGAGCTCATGTTCTGTTTAACGTCCTTCCTCCCCTTCAGCACACACAAAGACCAGAGCCCTGTTCCCCTCCCTAGGGTTCCTGCTCTGAGAGGCCTTGGTAGAGTGATCCCAGGTCTCCAACCAGAGTGGAGAGGGTCTCAGCCAGTTCTCAGTAAGAAGGTGCTGTGCAGCTCAGTAAAAGAACTCTCCACAGGAGTATCAGCCTTGCCGTCAGCTACACGACCTAAGGCAAGTCACTGTATCTCCCTGGGTCTCTGAGTTCTTCCCCTGTAAAATGAGGCAGTTAGAATACATGCATTCTAAGGTCTGTTTCCATTCTAACATTCCATGCTTTTATCAGTGAAATGACACAGAGGGAAGGACAGAAAGGACACAGTGACCCAATAGAAGACAGCCTGTCTCCATGCAGCCTCTGCCGCCTTGCTTTGCTGTCCCTCCCCGAAATTTTACCTCGTCCTCATTCTCCACTTTGGGGTTGCTGGCTGTCCGTTTCAGGTTGCTGCTGAGACTTATGCTGGCGGTGGCATCTGATTTAGAGCGCTGGTGAGTCCTTTTGGAAGGAGACAGCCCTGTGTCAGGAGCTGGGCTCAGGGAAGGCAACTCCCTCTTTCGGTGAGCCGGCTTCAGCTCGTCTGAGAGGATCAGCTTCCGCAACTTGGTCCCACGGGAGTGTCGCTGAGTGGAAATGTGCATGTCTGAAGAGTAGGCCCCGAGCAACAGGGCGCACTGGAGGGAAAAGTTAATGCTCTGGCGGCAGCGGTGGACTATGTAGGGCTTAATGGCATCACCCACATCCTCATCCATGTGGATGTACATGTTAAGCAATTGGGGCAGATAGAAGTCCACATCCTCATTGCGAAAGCAGAACAGCCTGTTGCCGATGTAGGCTTGGACTCCGGGCTCCTTGGAGTTGTACAAGTATGAAATGGCCATGGAGATGTCAAATAGTTTTGATTCAAATAGCCTCAGGAGCCAAGACTGTTTGGCCGAGTTGTTCTGCCGCCTCCTTCTTGCTCCTTTGGCTGTGCCCGAGGCCACAGCGGCCCCCACCTCATCCTCCTCCTCCCTGATCTGGGCAGGTGGATCATCCAGGCAACGGATCTCACCGTCCACACTGTCCCCATTGACCAGCTCCAGCTGGGTGTCTCTGCTAGAGATGGCCACACCGCCGTGCAAAAGCTTGACTTTCTCCAGCACCTCCTGGCAGGCCTTCTGGGCCACCTCTGGGTCGATCACTGATAGTTCCCCGGCCCCCTCCGTGATGACACTTAGCAAGGAGCCCCCGTTATTCCCTGGTGGGCTAGGAGCAGGCTCGGAAGTTGGCTGCAGCAGGGCAGGCTCCACTACCGTGTCTCCCATGGTACAGCCAGACTGTGAGCTTCCGAACTACAGGAGGAAGGAGGGGAAAGGAACAGAAAGGAGACACATAGACATGCTGGTTAGTGGTACCATCCTCAGGTCCTCCCTTTGCCATGAACCCTTCCTACGCATCTTCTCTTTCTGTCTTCCTGGACTCCTTCAAGTCAGATGAAAAGTCATCTCCCAGGAGCTCTCCCTCACTACCTCCACTTCCAATCACTGAATTACTCTGCATTCCTTCTGCACTCAGTGACTCGGATTAGCTTTGGCTCTTAGCTTGCATTTGTGAAATGTTGCTTTATATGTATTACATTTCTACAGGCTTACAAACTCCTCAGGTAAAGTGGGGAACAATCTGTATCTTATTCCTTTGTCCTTAATTCTATCCTTTTGTTCTTACCGTCTCCCTTCAACTACTTGCCACAGCATTTTCTTTTACGCTGCTCCCCCCCGCCCCCGTACTGGGGCTCAAACTCGGGTCCTTGCGCTTGCAAGGCAGGTGGTGGAAGCACTGAGCTAAATCCTCTTTAAACCACACTTCCTCACTCATACCACACTCCACACAGGTCCCATTTGTCTCACCTTTATTAAAATCTTGATGTATTTTTCTAGTTACAGACACTTTCTTACCTTTCCTTTTAGACTCAAAGCCCCTGGGGAATAAAGGCCAGCAAATATCATGCCAGCTTTGCTTAGAAGAAAACAGCTCTAAAGCAACCATCATCAACCCTACTGAAGCAGTGCCACTTCTCTGGCTATCTGGCTGCGTGACTTCATACCCTTTCTTCAGTGCTGTGGCAGCTGGGGAACAGTGGAAGAACCCTAAACTTGGAGGGAAAGGGGCTGGGGTTCAAAATCCTCGCTCTGCCTTTATAAGATGTGCCAACTTATGCATGTATCTTCTGAGTTTTGGTTTCCTCAACTGCAAAATGGAAAAAATACTTCTCATTGTTACTGTGCAGAAGAAATCAGTACATGTGTGTGAAAAGGTCTAGCACAGCCCCTGGTACACAGTAGTACTCAATAAATGCTAGTTGAATCCTAACTGCCTGAAAGTTTAATAAACAGTGTGTGCGTGTGTGTGTGTGTGTGTGTGTGTGTGCATGTAAGTGCTTGCAAATACACACAGTATTTTACAAGAGAGGCACAGTAAGAGTTACATTAGGGCTGGGGATTTAGCTCGGTGCCGCCACCTGCCTCCCAAGAGCAGGGACCCAAGTTCGATCCCCGGTACAAAAAAAAAAAAGTTACATTAGTTGCTTGAGACTCTTCTAAAATATTTATGATACGCTTCTCCTACCTGAAACCTATATTTCCCAATATCATACTGTCTGAGACTCGTGGGTCTACAGTTTCTAAAGAGCAGGGGAGAACAAGCCTAACTAAGAACGCTCTGGAGGGAAATTCAGCTAAAGAATACTGATGACAAAAGCTACCATTTTTGCCAGGCAGAGCAGCATACACCTGTAATCCCAGCTACTGAGAAGGCTGAGTCAGGAGAATCAAGTTCAAGGCGAGGCTGGGCCACTTAGTGAAATCCTGTCTCAAAGTGAAATAAAACCAGGGCTGGAGATGCAGCTCAGCGGGCTTGCCTAGCATGTGTGTTCAATTTCCAGTACCCCCTAAACCCTACCCCTCCAATAAACAAAAAACGTCCTCTAAGAGCAATTCTTCAGAGCCTCACCAAACCAGGTCAGGAGAATCAATGAGAAGCAAAAAATTTCAGAGGGATCCAGATCAAGAGAATCAGTGCAGAACAGGAGGAAATTTTGTCAGAATGACCTGGCTCCAGAATCTGGCGTTAGCAAAATGGATTTAACAGGCCTCTTCCCCAAAATGCAAAAAGACTGAGCCTAAGAGAAAGGTGGAGGCACTTGTGGAGCTGGAATGCAGGTGTTTTCCAAGTATTACTGACATCACTCCGATCCTGTGCCCGGTGCCCATACTTGGAGTCACTCTGGGAGGCCCTGGCTTCTGACATCACCCTTCCAGTGCCTCTTCTTGCTTCTCCGAGATGTTAAGCACTGAGCCTACTTTTATCTGCCCAATATCATCGAGTGCAGCTCCCTGCTTCTCAGCAGTTACCACTCAGGTTTTGTAAGAAAGACAGATGGGAGGTCTTGTTCTCAGAGATCAACAGAAAAAAATAGCTACTTCAGTTTGTCTCTTTCAAAGTCTGTCAAGCAAGAAGTCCATTCCTGAATTTAATCTCCTGACACAGTCTGAGCTTGGTACGGGTAAAAAGGTGACAACTCTTTCACCGTGTTCTCTCCCAAAGATAGGCAGTGCCCTGTAAGCAGTAGAACCAGCATGGTGGCCTAGGTGGATCTGTCTCTACTTGCAGCTATGGGCTGCACAGGAATAATAAGGAAGCTTTAATCACTCCTTGCCACACCTTTGTAGAGCCCTCAAGTGAGGTCAATTCACCTGAACCTCTACCTTTTAGGTCTGCTTAGGGGTTCACAAGGTAGCCTCCGCTATCCTTATATAATCAACTCTTTTCTCACCATCTCTATGTGTGGCACATCCTTCCCTTTTTTTATCTATTCAAGAGACTTCAAAGTCACCAAAGGCCCCTAGAAGTCCACTTTAAAACATATTAAAGGGGACTGGGGGCTCAGCTTAGTGGCAGAACACTTGCCTAACATGTATAAGACCGTGAGTTCCAAAAACAACCCAAAACAATCCAAACCAAACAGCCAAACACCCCAAACTTTCAAGGAGAGTGATGTTCAGACATTCTCCCAAATACAGTGTCTCAGACCACACCAAGACATTCAGCAGGACCAGGAATGGAGCTCAGTGGTGCTGCACCGGTCTGGCAAGTGCAAGGTCCTGAGTTCAATTCCTAACCACAGCTGGGATTATTATTGGCACTAGAAAGGAGGTAAGAATATAATATTATTTCTCTTATCTCCCAAGCAAAGAAGAAAAGCTCCAGGACTCAGACAGGAAGCCCACGTTACAATATTCAAAGGACTTCTAGGAGAACAGACAAGTCTCTCCCATCAGCATCTTTTCCTCCGCAGGGAACCAGACAATACCAAGAGGTGTGAGAAGTTGGGTGTGGTGGTTCACAACTGTAATCCCAGCACTCTGGGAGGCAGGATTGCAAGTCTGGGCAATTTAGTGATTTAGCAAGACCTCGTCTCAAAACAGAATTATAAAAAAGGGATGTAGCTCACTATGAAGGCTCTGGGTTCAATCTCTAGTACAGGGTAGGGGTAGGGGGATGAGTCAGGCACAGTAGTACACACCTGTAATCCCAGCACTTGGGAGGCTGAGGCAGGAAAATCACAAAATCAAGTTCTACCTATGCAATTTAGTAAGACTATCTCAAAAAATAAAATGGACTAGGATAGGTAGCTCAGTGCATAGGCCCAGGTTTCAATCTCTAGCAGTGGTGGTGGGATACAAGCAAGGTGTGGCAGTGCACACCTGTAATCCCAGGACTCTGGGGAGCTGAGGCAGAATGATTTCAAATTCAAGCCCAGCCTGGGCAATTTAGTTTTAGCAAGATCATACTTAAAAAAAAAAAAAAAAAAAG